TATTTTTGTCTGAAGCTAGTTTCCCCACAGCTATTTCCTAAGTGTCTAAACCAGCATTTGCCTGGTTATGTCCCACTGAGCATTTTGTGTGGAGCTCAATAATTAAATCATTCCATTATCAATAAGACTGAGAGCCTGTATAATTAATTCCCTTTTGAAGAGTCTCCATTTATTTAAGAACAGAAAAAACTTACGTAGTTAAGAACTCTGCCATTTTTTCCTGCATGTGAATCTTTCAGCCCCTTAAAGTTCTAGGAAGTACTGAACAAGGTGGTTCTGGGTTTGTAGCAGACACCGGGTGTATGGAACTAAAATGAGGAAATTTAATCAAAGAAAGGAACTATGCCTGAGCCTGGAATCCCAGCTCTGTCACTAACAAGCTTCAACTTGGGCTTTGCTGCTAAAGTGTTGTTCTTGATGCAGAGATGTGAACCACCCCTCCAGGCAACTGGAAGTTGGCAACTGGAAGGAGCAGCTAGAGCTTGGAGTTATCAGACATTTTACAGTGCATTTCCTGTGATCACAATGCAAAATTAATGATACAGTTATAAAAGCTTTTATAAAAAAGACCTACCATCAATGGGGAATTTTAAGAATATTAAACTAAATAATTTCTGTAATCAAATATGCACTTTTAAAAATTATTACATACCAAAACTTGGTGGATGCTTTGCACAGAGCTGAAGTTATATTCTATATGCTTTCATTATTAATCAGAATAAAAATAAATAATTGAGTACTAAATTCAATAAATACCCTTGGGAATCAGGAGAAAATCAACAATAACGGAAAGATAAAACAATAGATTAGGAAGAAGTGGTAATAATAAATAAATCCAGGATCTGATGCTCAGGAAAAAAATAAAATAAAATAAAATAGCACCTCTAGGAGGGAGCAGCACCCACAAGTCAAGGAGATGGAGACGATAATTATTTAACGAAAATTTAGGGTAAATTTGGATAAATATTCAGGAAAGAATCAAGGCAGTATTTCACTTCACCTTATGTGTAAAAGTAAGTCCCAAGTCTTAGGACTAAAGAAGTCATGATTTCATAGAAAAGAAAAACAATTAATATTACGTGTTGGTGAAAATGCAATCAGACAGACATTTCCCTACCCAGAGCTGACTATATTACTTAGCAAAATTAGTACTTTTTAAAAATCTTTAATCCAATGTGATACTTTTAGAAAACTATCTTGTCTATTATGAGGAACTTGAGATAGGAAAACATTTCTATATGAGGATAGCTGTGGTAGTGTTTCTGATACTAAAAATTATAATCAACAATAACAATTCAAATCATTGTATATCCATTTTCCCAAACTGTTAAAGCTACATCTGTTAAAACTATATTATCACTGGATGTGGTGGCACATGCCTACAATCCCAACACTCAGGAGGCTGAGGCCGTAATCCCAGCACTCGCCACAAGTTCCAGGCCAGTGAATAGTGAATTCAAGACCTGGCTGAACTACATAGCAAGATTTTGTCTCAAAAAATAAATGAAGAAAAACTATATTATCCAAAAATTGTCATGCAAAATTGTTCATGATAAAATAAGCAAACTAAAATGATATAAAACCATATAGAAATTATTTCAACTTTACAAATATATGTGTGTATGTATCTTATATGTATTATGTACAAGCATATCAGTATCTATGGATATTATGATAATCAGGCTCTTCATTTACTCTTTCAGCTTTTCTGAATTTTCCAAAATTTCTGTAATGATTATATATTATTCGTAAATAGAATACAACAAATTACACTCAAAATTTTAATACATTTTACTTTAAAAAAATACACATTGATATGACCTTGATGTGACTTTGAGACTTCTTACACTGGTTAATCATTTTCAAAAAAGGATGATTGTTTAATTGTGTCTCTTAAGTCTACATGAACTGAGCAAGGTTATTATGGCTATTCACCAGAATGTGGACATCATGACCTGTGACCTGGGCCCTATGAGAAGGGGAACCCAGTGTGTGAAAAGGGTGCAGGGCTCGGGGTCTTGGCCTCATGATCTAGAACAAAGCCTTTAGTAGTCTTTGGGATCTGATTTTTCTCCTACCAAACAGATAGCAATTCTTCCTCTACTACTTTCACAGAGTTGTTCCAAAAACCAAATGAGATAATCCAGGCAGGATGTTTTGAAATGTAGGTTATTGCGAAGATAATAATTGTCATTTGAAAATAAATTGTGCCAGCCTGATAGTTGATATATACAGTTTTCTAAATCTCCTTCCTGGTAAGGCAATATACACTCCTTTTGTTACAAAAGAAAAAAGCTCTCCCTGCTATTCTCTATAGCCTCCTTGCTTACTGAATTCAAAAGTGCACAGCCCTTGCAGGGGTGGGAGATACAAGTAGGTCAAGGCACATCCCTGTATCTCTAAATTCTAAAGGGAAATACTTGGCTTTTTATGCCCCTTGAATGAAGCAGCAGAGCCCTCAGATATTCCCACAGGACCAGGGTAGAGGACAAATTCTATGTGACTTCTCCACAAACATAGGATGTCTTTTAGCAAGTTTGTTGAGCCCAAATCTCTGCTCAGGGTGACAAGATCATTAAGACTGCACATTGGTCCCCACAACCCCTCTATAGCACTACTATTGTGAAGATAGCTGTGTCATCCAATTATTGCAGATTCTTGCTATATGTAGTTATGGGGAGCAGGAAATCCACAGTTCCTCCATGTCCCATAGCAGTCGGACTGCAATGAGCAGAGGCTACTATAAGAAAAGGAGGATATTTTGATTGACCTGGAAAGTTTACTGCATGCATTCTCACTGTAGATGTGCTTCATAGAAAGCTTTGCACTACCTAGACCAGGTATAGAATTTAACCAGAATGCTTGAGGGTGACTTATTTGGTGTCAGTATTTTTGAAGCTCCCCATGTGATCACATTTGCAACCAAGATTGAGAAGCACTGGCTTAGGATCCAACACAGAGCTCGGCATCCCCCTTCGTGCCTGCCTTCAGCACAGTTCCCTAGGCAAGGCTCCTCCACTTTCAGCTCTCTCCTATGTATTCCCTGCACACACTTCTTACTTAACATGGACCCAGCTCAGCCCTCCATTAGCTCCTCTGCAGACTGGCTCCATTTTCTGACACACCCAAAATGGGTATCATCTCACTGTTTTGAATTAGTCTACTTGGGCCATAAGTAAGCTGCCTAGTAAGCTAGTAACAATGGCAATTTAATGCAAAGTGAATCCCTCTTTGTTCTGCAAATATTTATTCAGTATCCACTCTGGGACAGGCATTATGCTAGGGATAAGCAGTGAGCAAGCAGACAAAATTCCAGTGGAAATCCTTTCTTTTACTTCTTTGACGTGCATAGGCAGATTATGCCCACTATTGTCTATTTCCCAATTTATCTTTCATCTGACTCACCATAAAGAGACCTAGCAACGAAAGCTATTTCTTCTGGCAACTTAAGAGTGTGATGATAAAATCTCCAGTCAACTATAGAGTCTGTAAATCTTTGAGCATGGAAGTACTGCCTTATTGAAGTTTGTTCACCTATGATGCTGGCTGGGAAGAATGAAATGAAAATCTGAAGCCTATAGAAGCTTTGGAGTTAGCTTATCTTCGAATAAGGCTGAGCATCCTATTGTTTTCCAGAACCATAAAGTGAGAAGAAACAATTTACCAAAGTTGTAGCAAAAATCATAAACCTTTAAATTTGTTTTAATTACTCTAGGCTCTACTATGCCTTCAGTTCATTAATGGCTTTTCAGAGTCTCGTGAATTGCTTGAGTAAAAAGCTGTGACATTGGAGGGAAAAGAGATTAGGAAAGAATCCAACACCACTCCAGAGGGGGTAGTTTAGAAAGCAATGTAAGAGATCATCTCATTTTGCTTGTTTGGTTCATTCTCCCATCCTCATTTTTATGGAAAAAATATAAGTGCATATAAAAGTAGACATAATAGTAACATTCACTCTCATGTACTCATATTTCAGCATCAAATATTAACAATTCTTGCCTACTTCTTCTCCAATGCCCTGTTGTCCTCCTCCTCTGATTATCCTGAAGCAACCTGAGATGTCAGAAAAAATTACTCGTAAATGTTAGAAAGTTAAATCTCCTAGTTTTAATCCCCTTAGTTAGCAAGCTCAAGATGAAGTCACTCAGCAAGTTAGTGGCAATTATTTTTAATCCTTAAATGCTAAGAGTAAAAATTGCAAGCTTTTATAACACAATTATTATATGTTATTTTTTATTATTATACAACAAACAATTCTATTATTTGATCCAACAATACTTCTTCAAGCTTTTCATTCAGAAAACTGGTAAATTCCCCCCAAAGACTTTAACAGGGTATGGTAACACCTGATTAATGTTTTTTTCATCAGAAATTTGAAAACCAGATCCCTGTGGATTTTGAAATTGTGAGTAAATGTGTCCAAGTAAAGTTATTTCTTTCAACTATTTAGTAATAAATGGTCTAAGACTCTTCCTAAACTTCATTGATTCCCATCTTCATTTTGTCTTGCTTTCAAGGTCAGTCGATGTTCGTCAAGCTAGTCTCAGTGACCTGTCTGAGATAATACTGCATAACTTGGCATGCAGCTGAATTTTTGTGTGTTTCCTAAGATTAAAATCCAAAGCGACATTGATTAATCTGCCAGAATGTTCCAGAGGTTTCCAAGGCAAGCAGAAAAGGTTGTTAGTGTCTTTGTTGTGGAAACATGGGTGCATCTGCTGTCATACCTGCTTTGCTTGTATCTCCAAACGTTACCCAAGGCAGGTGGCGGCCATCACCATGAGGAGCAGGGCACAAAGCACCTTCAATGAGTGTTTGATGAAAAAATAATTAGGAGTAAGAAATGCTGCAAAGAGTATCTGCATAAACAGTGCTGTAGAAGACAGACCTCCAGATATTTTTCTATGTACAACCCCCACTCATTTCTCTGAAAGATAACAGTAGCAAAGATTGACAATCTGTCATTTTAAGAATTTTCATTGTGTACTTTTCCTGGGCAGGTTATTCACATCAAACTCCTTTGATGTGATCAGTGATGATGCCTTTATTGGTCTTCCACATCTAGAGTATCTGTAAGTAAAATGACATTTTTTTCACATGATGATTCAGGACAAGTACTCTCAGGTTCCAGGCAGCTGTCTGACCAAAGTATTATGACCTATTGCAGATTCATAGAAAACAACAACATCAAGTCCATTTCAAGACATACTTTCCGGGGACTAAAGTCTTTAATTCACCTGTAAGTATGAAGGTTGCTACTACTTTTTAAGCTTGCCAACAGACAGTGCAAGCTGAGCATGTGTGGTTAAAGAGCTCATATATGAGCACCCATGAAAATTTAAGAGCCCAAGTGATTTCTCTTCACACACTCTTGCCTTTTCTCTCTGCCATCTGTCAGCATGTGTTCAGGAAATTGATTACTATTACTATTTTTAGCCTAAACCACCCATAATTAGAAAAGCAAGCTAATGCAGAGAAATTGTATGACTGAAATACCTTTTTTTATTATCTACATAATTATCCACTTCATGGATGATTATGGGTTGGCTATAACTTTAATTCGATAGTAGCTTTTTCTGGATAAGCCTTGACTTTATATACATTTAAAGCTAATATAGCCATTAGCAATGTCTGTTTGTCTGAAAAATTATTTACAAGTGAAATATGTGATTACTCAGTGGATGACCAGAGCTACAGTAGTCATTCTTAACAGGGGGCAATTTTGTCCTCCAGAAAATGTTCAGAAATATCTAGGAACATGCTTGTCACAACTTGAGGATGTAACTGGCATCTAGGGAGTAGAGGGCAGAGTTGCTCCTAAGTATTCTACAATGCACAGGGCAGTGTCTCACAGCCAAGAATTATCCAGCCTAAAATGGCATAGGTGGAGGGTTGAGAAAATCTGAACAACATGAACCATACAGCTCATTTCTTTTAGATCACTTCCCCTCCTACACACACACACACACACACACACACACACACACACATTTTTAAGGAAACTCAAAAAGCATGGGAAGAAAAGACACTACCATCTATTGTGTTGACCATTATGCTTGACATCAATTTTCATTTAATCCTCTCAATAATACTGCCAGGTAGACACAACAGTTCCTATGTTAGAGATGTGAAAACAGAATCTTGAAAGGAATGTATAAGTAAAGACCTGCTTAGTTATGTAATTATAAAAAAAAATGACTCAATAGTTGAATTGCCCTGGCAAATCATCCATCTTATGACTATTTCTCAAGTGCTGAATATACATCTCATTGCTGTTAGATAAAGATGCAAGGGGTCTAACTATCATAGTCATTCTGTCAACCTTAATCTGCTCTATCACTGTACTCATTGCCAGGCACCAGGATGCAGCAAAGAATAAGGCAGGCAAAACTGCCTGCCCTTTGAGTCCACTATCTACTGTGTTTATGTTGTCATCCTGCTGCCTCTACAGGCTTCATTCTCTTCTGCCATTGGTTTGTAGCATGGAGAGAAAGCTGATGGCCACATTTATTTGATAAAATCACATCTTTTAAGATTACATAGAATCATAACTATGCACACACCATTTGCAATGCTGCCTTTAATATGGATGATATAATATGCTGCAAACATGGCTATGCAACAGAATAGATGTAACACAATTTTATCACAGAGCCCAGTACTACTAAACTTCATTATTCAGGCAACAGTTTAAAAAAGGGATAAAATGGAAACAAAGGTTTAAAAATAAGGGTAGGAAGAGGAGTTGAAGAGAGAGGGGGGAAATGGGGGGAAAAAAGAGGAACTAAAATATGTCATATACAGGTACAAATTCCCTATGATGGAGGTGACTATTATGCATATCTAAATTGTACCAATAAATTTAATTATAAGAAATTAAAGAAACAAAGGTGTGGATGGAGAAATGGAAATTCATGACCTAATTTTGATGTCCACTTGATTCACATAAATACCATTCAACATAGCCTCTGCCTAATGTGCAGCATCACAAGGCATTGCAAAAAATGGTACAAGGCCCGGTGTTCATTAATCTAGGATCTCTGGGATCTCTTCTTCTCCAACGCCCTTTGTCCTCCTCCTCTGATTATCCTGAAGCAACCTGAGATGTCAGAAAAAATTATTCGTAAACGTTAGAAAGTAAAATCTCCTAGTTTTAATCCCCTTAGTTAGCAAGCTCAAGATGAAGTCACTCAGCAAGTTAGTGGCAATTATTTTTAATCCTTAAATGCGAAAAGTAAAAATTGCAAACTTTTAGTTACAAAAGTATTATATGTTAGTTTTAATTATTATACAACAAACAATTCTATTATTTGATCCAACAATACTTCTTCAAGCCCTTCATTCAGAAAACTGGTCTTCTGTCGCATTGCAGTCCCAGTTTGGACACATTTAGGAGAGGACACTGTTCATCATAGTGGTGGGGACTTCTAACTTTAACCAGGCTTGGGCCCCATCTAAAATACATCTGTGATCTTCAGTATTAGCAGAAAGCTGTGATGCAGGAGACAGAACTAGTGGTGGCGGCAGCACAGCTGACTAAGTAGCTTGGGTTTGACAAATGTAAGGAGGAGGAAGGTCAGACTTGGGGTCCTCAGGCAGAACAGGATAAAGCTTTTCTAGCTTGGGCTGAATCTAAGATCCTCTCAGATGGCCTTGTGGGTTTGTTTTGATGACTAGGATGGCTTTCTTGTCATGCAGGACACAGGTGGAAGGTTTTAACCCCTTATGGAAACTGAGTCCAAGTGAGCTGGCCTTTTATCTCAGGATTTCCCCAGTTGAAGGGGCTCATGGGAGCAACTGTCAAGCAGAGGAAGGCATCTTTTCTGCATTGTTGACAGCATGGAGATCTTGCCTAAGGTGATTAACAGTCTACCAAGCTGATGTGTGGCTAGATGCCTGTTTGTGCTTTCCATCACATCTGATAGCAACAAGGGTCACAGCGAGGCAGGATGGTTGCCGTTATCTGCCTCAGGCTGATGCAGGTCTCATTTTCCTCTCAGGGAACAGTCAAAGTGGAATGTACTGGGTTAAACAAGAGGGAGGCTATTGTCGTACAAAGGAGATGCCCTCCCAGGCTGTAAGTTTGTGTCTGGGAGAAAGGGCGAGAGGTGAGAATCCCAGTTGCCCTAGTGATGGTAACTTTTTGAGAGAGAGAACATTTGAAGGCAGAGTTCTGTTCCATTGTTTATCAGGAAAGTCACAGGTTTGCCTCTGACTTTTGCAATGACCACAGGCTCTCAGGGGCCCAACTGGATAGAACTCAGTCTGTCCTATCTACTCAGGCCCAAGAGGGTGCAGCTCATTTGTCAGGGCTGACAGTCCAATTTTTCCTCGGCCAAAACGTGGAACTCAGAAGGGATTGTTGACAGTCACCTCAGGTGGGTGTTAGATGACACCATTTGGCCAGAATGGGTGTGTAAGCAGAAGGCTCTGGAGGGAGGGCATTTGTGGCCAAATGCAGGCATTGGCTAACTAGAACCAGTTCAACTGGCTGGAAGGAGACAAGTCAGGAGCAGGGAGTGAAGTTACATGTGTTGGCAGCAGCTGCAGTGGCCAATTCTGCCAAGGCAGAATTCTCAGGAAAAATGGGGCTGTTTTTCCTTTTTTTTTCCTCTGAAATGCAGAGAGCTATTTGATTTCATTTTTAACTCCATAAAAGCCCCTTTTCCTGCAGTCATGGACTGTGAGTTTTAACTAATTAGTTCCCATTCTATTTCCCCATGGTATATATTGTGTGCTCTTGAATGATGGCACAACAGACAAAGGGTGAGTTCCCCTCAGATGCCCACCTCGTCATGCCCCTCACAGGGACTTAGATGCAACTTAGCTAAGGAGGGTGGGAGGCCTCCATGATGCCACGGAACCACAAGAGAGGGCCCCATCAGCCAGGGCAGCCAGTGCTTCCCTGTCTTGGTGCACAGATGGAGCAGCCTATTGCTTACACTGTCCACGTCACTCACTCACACATTCATTCAGCAGGCACTCAGGTTAAACTCTCCGACCCCCTTCCCTTGATTGGCCTTAACTAACAAGAGGTGATCGAGCTCTAGTTCTGCTCAAACTGAGCAGGACTGAAGACTGACTAATGAATGATTTCTTACTGAAATCAGGTAGGCAGACAGACAGATTTCATCCTCCCCGCTTTGGGGTCTGATGTGAACCACTTGAAGGCGGAGCCAGGAATTCTCCTCCAGACCTCCGAGGGGACTCAAGGAATCTGGAAGGCACACTTCCCGTCAGGACCTGGAGAAGTCCTAGCTCCACCTTTGAGGGCCACAACCAGTGACCAAAAAGGTCAGCATAGTCAGTCTTCCTGGCTGACACAGTAAATGCAACAGCAAGCAGAAACACCAAAACAACACCCAGGATTTAAAGGCAGATTTATTTACACAGATGGGCACTGATCGGGATCATGCCCAGAATATTAGGCCCTGATCTATAGTGGTCTAGGGCTTATATTGGATAAGCAAGCAGGAAGTACAGAAGCAGAATGGCTTGTCAACTGGGGGTTGGTTTATATAATGTGCATCATAGTGATGAACTAAGCATCACAGTGTCAGCCATTTCTAAGAGACCTGAGCAACCAGCTCTGGAACAGGATCTATTACCTGGGCAACTAACAAACTGAAGTATACTGGCTTGGAGCCGGGGGGGGGGGCATTTTCTGCTGTAGCATAAGTTATTTTTACTGAACTAGTACCTAAGCCAGGTTTAATTGCAGTGTTTAATTGCAGTGCACTTTGCAATAAATAAATGAGTTTGGGTTGCAGTTGGGCACTCATCTCTAAAGCATTCACCATCATTGTTCTAGCAGGAGTTAAACAAATATTTTCTCAAATACTTTCTTATTGAGTGCCTTTGTCTCCTCATTTTATCCTTTCTAATTAGGCTGTTTTTCAAGGTATATTTTCTTTCTTTCTTCCTTTTAAGGAGGAAAGTAGGCAGCATTTGAAATCCAAATGTCCCTTTGCTTTCCCAGTACATCAAGTTCATTTTTTACTATTTATTACTTACATATAAATGCAGCACTCATTTAAACTATTGGTTTTCTCTTTAAGATTTTTGGCTTCAAAGTCACTTTTCTCCACCTCTGACCAATTCTTTCCCATAGAAAGGCAAACATTTAAGCAGTGAGGGATTAACATTTCACCCTCTAACCTGCACATGCTGGTTGGAGTTTGCAAGACTATTTCATATTCTTGACCTCATTATAGTCTCCTAGCAACCTTGTGGAAGAGAAGGGCAGTAGCATCACCTTGCTTATGAATGAGAAAATTGAGGTCTACCCTGAGTTTAAGTGGCTTGCCAGTTAGTCAGCAGTCACCAGAGTTTCCCAAAGTTTTCACTTTCTTAGTGATGTCCCCACTGTGTCTCTTAGAGCAAGACCAGAAAGCTCTTATTGAGCTGACTGGATCCTTCCATGGGGTATGACTTGAGCAAATCTGACTAGAGAAGAAAAAGATCACGTAGAGAGGAGCCCTACTGCTGTTCTTCATCTCCAAATGTAGATAGTTGTGATTAGACACACATTGTTAGATCTAACTGGCTCCCACTCTGACCTAACAGTAAAGCTACGCTTAGAAGCCAATCTGAGCAGTTACATGAGCTTGGTCCATTCCTGAAGATACAATGCACTTTTTCATTTTTCAATAGATCTATTTTAATAGACTTATTTTTCTAAAGAGACATTTATGGACAACTGAAAGTTAGTATATATCAGCGATGCTGAACCTTTCAGAGACTTGAGTATCCAAACTGCAACCCAAAACCCACTTATTTATCCCAAAGTGCCAATAATGCAATTAAACCTGAATGCTTGGCTGCTAGGACAACCCTGGGGTGACTTGACTTGTGTGCCAAAAGAGAGAGCTCTGAGTACCCACTGCAGCATGTGGGCCATAGGTTCACCACCACTGATAGAGATAGAGGTG